CCAGTATGCCAGGCAAGGTGTGTGTTTTAGTTCCAGTATGCCAGGCAAGGTGTCTGATCAAGGTGTTAGTGGTATGCTGTTGAAGTGTGTCATGTGCTCACCTTAAATAAAGTCAGATGATCATAAATAAATAACAAAGACTGTGCAATACCATTCATTTGTAGACTTATTGACAATATTATATACAAGTCATCTCCAGCAATATTGTGGTGCAATCTCTCAGTACAATACTTTGATGTCAACTGGCATATAGCAAAGGGGCCATCATGGGAGGTAGTCAATACCGTGGTGTCAACTTGCATATAGCAAAGGGGCCATCATGGGGGATAGCCAATACTATGGTGTTAACTGGCATATAGCAAAGGGGCCATCATGGGGGGTAGTCAATACCGTGGTGTCAACTTGCATATAGCAAAGGGGCCATCATGGGGGATAGCCAATACTATGGTGTTAACTGGCATATAGCAAAGGGGCCGTCATGGGGGATAGTCTTTCAGTACAATACTGTGGTGTCAACTGGCATATAGCAAAGGGACCGTCATGGGGGATAGTCAATACTATGGTGTCAACTGGCATATAGCAAAGGGACCGTCATGAGGGATAGTCAATACTGTGGTGTTAACTGGCATATAGCAAAGGGGCAATCATGGGGGATAGTCAATACCGTGGTGTCAACTGGCATATAGCAAAGGGGCCGGCATATAGCAAAGGGCCGTCATGGGGGATAGTCAATACCGTGGTGTCAACTGGCATATAGCAAAGGGGCCATCATGGGGCAGTCTTTCAGTACAATACCGTGGTGTTAACTGGCATATAGCAAAGGGGCCATCATGGGGGATAGTCAATACTGTGGTGTCAACTGGCATATAGCAAAGGGGCCATCATGGGGGATAGTCTTTCAGTACAATACTGTGCTGTCAACTGGCATATAGCAAAGGTGCCATCATGGGGGATAGTCTTTCAGTACAATACCGTGGTGTCAACTGGCGTATAGCAAAGGGGCCATCATAGGGGATAGTCTTTCAGTACAATACTGTTGTGTCAACTGGCATATAGCAAAGGGGCCGTCATGGGGGATAGTCTTTCAGTACAATACTGTGGTGTCAACTGGCATATAGCAAAGGGGCCGTCATGGGGGATAGTCAATACCGTGGTGTCAACTGGCATATAGCAAAGGGGCCATCATGGGGGATAGTCAATACTGTGGTGTCAACTGGCATATAGCAAAGGGGCCATCATGGGGGATAGTCTTTCAGTACAATACTGTGGTGTCAACTGGCATATAGCAAAGGGGCCGTCATGGGGGATAGTCAATACCATGGTGTCAACTGGCATATAGCAAAGGGGCCATCATGGGGGATAGTCTTTCAGTACAATACTGTGGTGTCAACTGGCATATAGCAAAGGGACCGTCATGGGGGATAGTCTTTCTGTACAATACTGTGGTGTCAACTGGCATATAGCAAAGGGGCCGTCATGGGGGATAGTCAATACTGTGGTGTCAACTGGCATATAGCAAAGGGGCCATCATGGGGGATAGTCTTTCAGTACAATACTGTGGTGTCAACTGGCATATAGCAAAGGGGCCGTCATGGGGGATAGTCAATACCGTGGTGTCAACTGGCATATAGCAAAGGGGCCGTCATGGGGGATAGTCTTTCAACATCTGATAACTGTTTTATTCATGACAGTGATCAAGGTTACTATCACTGCCTTTAACTTATTTTAGTCTTCGAAAGAAGTAACAGAGGATGTTCAGAGGGATTAGTGAGGCAACCTGATACACTTGTTAGTCATGTTTGTGAAGATCACCTTTCTAGTTTTCATGAACATCTTTGATATGTTAATAAACATTCTAGTCATAGTTCTTGTGGGGAGACTAATCACACGTCATTTCTCTGTCAGTTGATTTTCTGTATAGTAAACCATATGCCATGTATTAAAGACTATATGCTTGTGTCATTTTAAAGCATACAAGGATAGTAGAGGCAAAAGATGTTGCCATGTCTTCTTGTTTGTTTATATCTTTTGTAAAGGGTTTCATAATACTAAAAGAGAAAGCTATCAATTGCGTTCATAAATCACAGCTAGGAGGAACAGGAAGGAAGTCCTACTTTGACATGAGTGTCAGGATCAACCTATAACACGCAGCAGTGATCACTCCACTCTGGCCTGAATAACACACAGTCTGACTATAGGGGCCATAGCATGTACTGGCGATTCACACTGTTGTACATGTAGAGATTCCCACTACACACTGTTGTACATGTAGATATTCCCATTGTACACACTGTTGTACATGTAGATTCCCACTACACACTGTTGTACATGTAGAGATTCCCACTACACACTGTTGTGCATGTAGATTCCTACTATACACTGTTGTACATGTAGAGATTCCCACTCTACACACTGTTGTACATGTAGAGATTCCCATTGTACACACTGTTGTACATGTAGAGATTCCCACTACACACTGTTGTACATGTAGAGATTCCCACTGTACACACTGTTGTAGATGTAGAGATTCCCACTACACACTGTTGTACATGTAGAGATTCCCACTGTACACACTGTTGTAGATGTAGAGATTCCCACTACACACTGTTGTACATGTAGAGATTCCCACTGTACACACTGTTGTAGATGTAGAGATTCCCACTGTACACACTGTTGTACATGTAGAGATTCCCACTGTACACACTGTTGTACATGTAGAGATTCCCACTGTACACACTGTTGTACATGTAGAGAATCCCACTGTACACACTGTTGTACATGTAGAGATTCCCACTGTACACACTGTTGTACATGTAGATTCCCACTACACACTGTTGTACATGTAGAGATTCCCACTACACACTGTTGTACATGTAGATTCCTACTATACACTGTTGTACATGTAGAGATTCCCACTCTACACACTGTTGTACATGTAGAGATTCCCATTGTACACACTGTTGTACATGTAGAGATTCCCACTACACACTGTTGTACATGTAGAGATTCCCACTGTACACACTGTTGTAGATGTAGAGATTCCCACTACACACTGTTGTACATGTAGAGATTCCAACTACACACTGTTGTATATGTAGAGATTCCCACTGTACACACTGTTGTATATGTAGAGATTCCCACTGTACACACTGTTGTACATGTAGATTCCTACTATACACACTGTTGTACATGTAGAGATTCCCACTACACACTGTTGTACATGTAGAGATTCCTACTACACACTGTTGTACATGTAGAGATTCCCACTACACACTGTTGTATATGTAGAGAATCCCACTGAACACACTGTTGTACATGTAGAGATTCCCACTGTACACACTGTTGTACATGTAGAGATTCCCACTACACACTGTTGTACATGTAGAGATTCCCACTGTACACACTGTTGTACATGTAGAGATTCCCACTGTACACACTGTTGTACATGTAGAGATTCCCACTACACACTGTTGTACATGTAGAGATTCCCACTGTACACACTGTTGTACATGTAGAGATTCCCACTACACACTGTTGTACATGTAGAGATTCCCACTGTACACACTGTTGTACATGTACAGATTCCCACTACACACTGTTGTACATGTACAGATTCCCACTACACACTGTTGTACATGTAGAGATTCCCACTACACACTGTTGTACATGTAGAGATTCCCACTGTACACATGGTTGTACATGTAGAGATTCCCACTACACACTGTTGTAGATGTAGAGATTCCCACTACACACTGTTGTACATGTAGAGATTCCTACTACACACTGTTGTACATGTAGAGATTCCCACTACACACTGTTGTATATGTAGAGAATCCCACTGAACACACTGTTGTACATGTAGAGATTCCCACTGTACACACTGTTGTACATGTAGAGATTCCCACTACACACTGTTGTACATGTAGAGATTCCCACTGTACACACTGTTGTACATGTAGAGATTCCCACTACACACTGTTGTACATGTACAGATTCCCACTACACACTGTTGTACATGTAGAGATTCCCACTGTACACACTGTTGTACATGTAGATTCCCACTACACACTGTTGTACATGTAGAGATTCCCACTACACACTGTTGTACATGTAGAGATTCCCACTACACACTTTTGTACATGTAGAGATTCCCACTGTACACACTGTTGTACATGTAGAGATTCCCACTGTACACACTGTTGTACATGTAGAGATTCCCACTACACACTGTTGTACATGTAGAGATTCCCACTACACACTGTTGTACATGTAGAGATTCCCACTACACACTGTTGTACGTGTAGAGATTCCCACTACACACTGTTGTACATGTAGATTCCTACTATACACACTGTTGTACATGTAGAGATTCCCACTACACACTGTTGTACATGTACAGATTCCCACTGTACACACGGTTGTTCCCAGAGAAGAATATGTTTTCCTGGGCTGAAAGAGAAAACTTGTTTAAAAACTTACGTTTACATAGCGTGGTGCATGGAGTTTGAAATATCACTGTTAACCTTCCCCTGAATAATAGCATGATATATTTTAGGCATGTTTGATCATTCTTTAGCACTACAACAACAGTTTACAAATATTATAGGTGTATACATGAAGTAGATATGTGTATTTACATTGAAACGTGATACTTTTAGCTTATAAAGACCTACTCTACTTGTTTTTCTCTGTAGATGACTGATAGTGTCTGCACTAAAAGTCTCCTTGTCCTTCTCATATTCCAGGATTTAACAGTCCTGCTTCCTTCACTGTAATTAGAGGTGTTCACAGTATATTGGCATCCTGGAAACACGTGCAGAATATGGCAGCTTGACAGTGTAGACAGTTCTAGTTACTGTGTTGCTTGACAAGTCTCATGAGTGGATATCTATTTACACTCTTTTGCAGGCTGATTAAATGCCTTTGATATCAACAAAATAAGAATTATGAAAGATATTAAATATTATCTACTACATCATTTTAATGTTGCTTTTTTTCAGGAGGAAGTACATTGTTGACAGACACAATGCGAGCATTTGGGAGCATCAGCAACCTACGACCAAGTGACTCACTTCGGAGTCTGCGATTGGTGGATGGAATACAAGTGGAACTCAGAAGAAGTGGGCAGGAGGACCGTGTGTTGTCAGCAAAGCTTGTCAAGTCACGGAGAGTAAGTGCAGATCCGTCCCCAATGTTGGTCAGGGCATTTCATTGCAGTAGGAGGATCTGATCACAGTTGTAGTTTCTTCATCCAACATCCTTGTATTCAGTCAAGGCCCCATCAGGAGATCTTGCTAACATCCTTGTATTCAGTCAAGGCCCCATCAGGAGATCTTGCTAACATCCTTGTATTCAGTCAAGGCCCCATTAGGAGATCTTGCTAACATCCTTGTATTCAGTCAAGGCCCCATTAGGAGATCATGCTAACATCCTTGTATTCAGCTATGGCCTGCTAAGATATCTTTCTAACTTCCATGTATTCAGTCAAGGCCTGCTAAGAGATCTTGCTAACTGCCTTGTATTCAGTCAAGGCCCCATCAGGAGATCTTGCTAACATCCTTGTATTCAGTCAAGGCCCCATTAGGAGATCTTGCTAACATCCTTGTATTCAGTCAAGGCCCCATCAGGAGATCTTGCTAACATCCTTGTATTCAGTCAAGGCCCCATTAGGAGATCTTGCTAACATCCTTGTATTCAGTCAAGGCCCCATTAGGAGATCTTGCTAACATCCTTGTATTCAGTCAAGGCCCCATCAGGAGATCTTGCTAACATCCTTGTATTCAGTCAAGGCCCCATCAGGAGATCTTGCTAACATCCTTGTATTCAGTCAAGGCCCCATTAGGAGATCTTGCTAACATCCTTGTATTCAGTCAAGGCCCCATCAGGAGATCTTGCTAACATCCTTGTATTCAGTCAAGGCCCCATTAGGAGATCTTGCTAACATCCTTGTATTCAGTCAAGGCCCCATTAGGAGATCTTGCTAACATCCTTGTATTCAGTCAAGGCCCCATCAGGAGATCTTGCTAACATCCTTGTATTCAGTCAAGGCCCCATTAGGAGATCTTGCTAACATCCTTGTATTCAGTCAAGGCCCCATCAGGAGATCTTGCTAACATCCTTGTATTCAGTCAAGGCCCCATTAGGAGATCTTGCTAACATCCTTGTATTCAGTCAAGGCCCCATCAGGAGATCATGCTAACATCCTTGTATTCAGCTATGGCCTGCTAAGATATCTTCCTAACTTCCATGTATTCAGTCAAGGCCTGCTAAGAGATCTTGCTAACTGCCTTGTATTCAGTCAAGGCCCCATCAGGAGATCTTGCTAACATCCTTGTATTCAGTCAAGGCCCCATTAGGAGATCTTGCTAACATCCTTGTATTCAGTCAAGGCCCCATCAGGAGATCTTGCTAACATCCTTGTATTCAGTCAAGGCCCCATTAGGAGATCTTGCTAACATCCTTGTATTCAGTCAAGGCCCCATTAGGAGATCTTGCTAACATCCTTGTATTCAGTCAAGGCCCCATCAGGAGATCTTGCTAACATCCTTGTATTCAGTCAAGGCCCCATCAGGAGATCTTGCTAACATCCTTGTATTCAGTCAAGGCCCCATTAGGAGATCTTGCTAACATCCTTGTATTCAGTCAAGGCCCCATCAGGAGATCTTGCTAACATCCTTGTATTCAGTCAAGGCCCCATTAGGAGATCTTGCTAACATCCTTGTATTCAGTCAAGGCCCCATTAGGAGATCTTGCTAACATCCTTGTATTCAGTCAAGGCCCCATCAGGAGATCTTGCTAACATCCTTGTATTCAGTCAAGGCCCCATTAGGAGATCTTGCTAACATCCTTGTATTCAGTCAAGGCCCCATCAGGAGATCTTGCTAACATCCTTGTATTCAGTCAAGGCCCCATTAGGAGATCTTGCTAACATCCTTGTATTCAGTCAAGGCCCCATCAGGAGATCATGCTAACATCCTTGTATTCAGCTATGGCCTGCTAAGATATCTTCCTAACTTCCATGTATTCAGTCAAGGCCTGCTAAGAGATCTTGCTAACTGCCTTGTATTCAGTCAAGGCCTGCTAAGAGATCTTGCTAACTTCCATGTATTCAGTCAAGGCCTGCTAAGAGATCTTGTTAACAACCTTGTATTCAGTCAATGCCTGCTGAGACATCTTACTAACTTCCATGTATCCTGGCAGTGATGTCTGCACAGACTGGCAAAAGAGATTTGACTGTGTTTGCTCCTGGTGTTCTCACATGCTATGTCTGGGCAGACTGGCAGTAGATATTTGATTGTGTTTGCTCTCACATGCTATGTCTGGGCAGACTGGCAGTAGATATTTGACTGTTTGCTCCTGGTGTTCTCACATGCTATATCTGGGCAGACTGGCAGTAGATATTTGACTGTGTTTGCTCTCACATGCTATGTCTGGGCAGACTGGCAGTAGATATTTCACTGTTTGCTCCTGGTGTTCTCACATGCTATATCTGGGCAGACTGGCAGTAGATATTTGATTGTGTTTGCTCTCACATGCTATGTCTGGGCAGACTGGCAGTAGATATTTGACTGTGTTTGCTCTCACATGCTATGTCTGGGCAGACTGGCAGTAGATATTTGACTGTTTGCTCCTGGTGTTCTCACATGCTATATCTGGGCAGACTGGCAGTAGATATTTGATTGTGTTTGCTCTCACATGCTATGTCTGGGCAGACTGGCAGTAGATATTTGACTGTTTGCTCCTGGTGTTCTCACATGCTATATCTGGGCAGACTGGCAGTAGATATGTGACTGTGTTTGCTCTCACATGCTATGTCTGGGCAGACTGGCAGTAGATATTTCACTGTTTGCTCTCACATGCTATGTCTGGGCAGACTGGCAGTAAATATTTGACTGTTTGCTCCTGGTGTTCCCACATGCTATGTCTGGGCAGACTGGCAGTAGATATTTCACTGTTTGCTCCTGGTGTTCTCACATGCTATGTCTGGGCAGACTGGCAGTAGATATTTGACTGTGTTTGCTCTCACATGCTATGTCTGGGCAGACTGGCAGTAGATATTTGACTGTGTTTGCTCTCACATGCTATGTCTGGGCAGACTGGCAGTAGATATTTGACTGTGTTTGCTCTCACATGCTATGTCTGGGCAGACTGGCAGTAGATATTTCACTGTTTGCTCCTGGTGTTCCCACATGCTATATCTGGGCAGACTGGCAGTAGATATTTGATTGTGTTTGCTCTCACATGCTATGTCTGGGCAGACTGGCAGTAGATATTTCACTGTTTGCTCTCACATGCTATGTCTGGGCAGACTGGCAGTAGATATTTGATTGTGTTTGTTCTCACATGCTATGTCTGGGCAGACTGGCAGTAGATATTTGATTGTGTTTGTTCTCACATGCTATGTCTGGGCAGACTGGCAGTAGATATTTGATTGTGTTTGCTCTCACATGCTATGTCTGGGCAGACTGGCAGTAGATATTTGACTGTGTTTGCTCCCACATGCTATGTCTGGGCAGACTGGCAGTAGATATTTGACTGTTTGCTCTCACATGCTATGTCTGGGCAGACTGGCAGTAGATATTTGACTGTGTTTGCTCTCACATGCTATGTCTGGGCAGACTGGCAGTAGATATTTCACTGTTTGCTCCTGGTGCTCTCACATGCTATGTCTGGGCAGACTGGCAGTAGATATTTCACTGTTTGCTCCTAGTGCTCTCACATGCTATGTCTGGGCAGACTGGCAGTAGATATTTGATTGTGTTTGCTCTCACATGCTATGTCTGGGCAGACTGGCAGTAGATATTTGACTGTGTTTGCTCTCACATGCTATGTCTGGGCAGACTTGCAGTAGATATTTGACTGTGTTTGCTCTCACATGCTATGTCTGGGCAGACTGGCAGTAGATATTTGACTGTTTGCTCTCACATGCTATGTCTGGGCAGACTGGCAGTAGATATTTCACTGTTTGCTCCTGGTGCTCTCACATGCTATGTCTGGGCAGACTGGCAGTAGATATTTCACTGTTTGCTCCTGGTGCTCTCACATGCTATGTCTGGGCAGACTGGCAGTAGATATTTGACTGTTTGCTCCTGGTGCTCTCACATGCTATGTCTGGGCAGACTGGCAGTAGATATTTCACTGTTTGCTCCTGGTGCTCTCACATGCTATGTCTGGGCAGACTGGCAGTAGATATTTGACTGTTTGCTCTCACATGCTATGTCTGGGCAGACTGGCAGTAGATAGTTGACTGTTTGCTCTCACATGCTATGTCTGGGCAGACTGGCAGTAGATATTTGACTGTTTGCTCTCACATGCTATGTCTGGGCAGACTGGCAGTAGATATTTCACTGTTTGCTCCTGGTGCTCTCACATGCTATGTCTGGGCAGACTGGCAGTAGATATTTCACTGTTTGCTCCTGGTGCTCTCACATGCTATGTCTGGGCAGACTGGCAGTAGATATTTCACTGTTTGCTCCTGGTGCTCTCACATGCTATGTCTGGGCAGACTGGCAGTAGATATTTCACTGTTTGCTCCTGGTGCTCTCACATGCTATGTCTGGGCAGACTGGCAGTAGATATTTCACTGTTTGCTCTCACATGCTATGTCTGGGCAGACTGGCAGTAGATATTTCACTGTTTGCTCCTGGTGCTCTCACATGCTATGTCTGGGCAGACTTGCAGTAGATATTTGACTGTTTGCTCTCACATGCTATATCTGGGCAGACTGGCAGTGATATTTGACTGTTTGCTCCTGGTGTTCCCACATGCTATGTCTGGGCAGACTGGCAGTAGATATTTGATTGTGTTTGCTCTCACATGCTATGTCTGGGCAGACTGGCAGTAGATATTTGACTGTGTTTGCTCTCACATGCTATGTCTGGGCAGACTGGCAGTAGATTTTTGACTGTGTTTGCTCTCACATGCTATGTCTGGGCAGACTGGCAGTAGATATTTGATTGTGTTTGCTCTCACATGCTATGTCTGGGCAGACTGGCAGTAGATATTTGATTGTGTTTGCTCTCACATGCTATGTCTGGGCAGACTGGCAGTAGATATTTCACTGTTTGCTCTCACATGCTATGTCTGGGCAGACTGGCAGTAGATATTTGACTGTTTGCTCCTGGTGTTCCCACATGCTATGTCTGGGCAGACTGGCAGTAGATATTTGATTGTGTTTGCTCTCACATGCTATGTCTGGGCAGACTGGCAGTAGATATTTGACTGTGTTTGCTCTCACATGCTATGTCTGGGCAGACTTGCAGTAGATATTTGACTGTGTTTGCTCTCACATGCTATGTCTGGGCAGACTGGCAGTAGATATTTCACTGTGTTTGCTCTCACATGCTATGTCTGGGCAGACTGGCAGTAGATATTTGATTGTGTTTGCTCTCACATGCTATGTCTGGGCAGTCTTGTCACTCCACCTGGCTTCACTCTCCACGTAGTAGTCTACCTTTCAACTCAGTAATCAATACACACAGGTAGTGCAAATCTGCACACAGCCAAGTGTTTTGTAGATGTCATTGATTCCCACGTAACTAATGCGTGGGATTTCTTCAAAATATCACATCAAAATGGAGGATTGCTGTCTAGCTTTCTGGTCATTCATATTGAAATGTTGGACAACAAAAATACTACCATCAAAACCAAAGGGAGGGAAATATGGATCTCTGGACGAGGTTTGTGTCTTTATCCACATGACTAAATGATGACTGAACATGCAATGCAGGCTTGAGTTGTGTATTATGGAGGTCGCCAGAACTGGCAGTAGGTTGTTCAGTGGTGGGATGTGTAGTACCCTGAAACTGTGCTCCAAAAAACACTGGGACACTTCTGGAGGAGCTCACCCCTCAGATTGGCATTCAAGCCAGCCAGGAGTTGGTTATCTTAAACTGTCTTCTATTTCATATTTGCAAAAACATCCTATAAAGAGTTTTGTATCTAACGATGCCCAAACATTAAAATATATACAAGCATTGAATAGGATACATTTATGTTTTTACCTGCATGGTATGTCAATAGTAAATGAAATGATTTCCTCTACATGAATTGTAAACATATTTGTTTTACATCAATTTGTATATATTGATCTAAATTTTGGTAGTAGAATTTGTCAGATTGTACATTCTTGCCTCAGATGTGATAATGAGAGTGAGGATGGTTTCACGCCGCTTTTAGCAATACTGCAGCAATATCACGGCGGGGGACACCAGAAATGGGCTTCACACATTGTACCCATGTGGGGAATCGAACCCGGGTCTACGGTGTAATTAGCAGATATTTTATACCACTAGGCTACCCCATCAGCCCCAGACATGATTGTAGTGATATGAATGCACATTGATATGAAAGACACATTTCTGATAATGCAGCTTGTTCTTGTGGACATAATATAAATGAAACTCATTCATTTTCTACGCTGAGTGAGTACATCTTAACACTACATTATATGAAAATGCTAATTTTGAAAAAACTAGTAATTTAGATTATAATCTTGACATCAGTACATTCATATTCTTCCCTCCGAACGGTTTAAACTTGCATTATATGGTGAGACTATAAATCCTGCACATATATGTGTAAATCCTCCTCTACTCAAACACCATGCTGTTGCTTATGACCACTTGCTTATGTCAAAAGTATCTGGTTTATCATCAAGAATCATTTTTCTGGAATGCGGCTAACTTATACAGGAGAAGTATTAACATAAGCCTTCTTGGCATGTTTGCCAATCCAGATTCATTGAATAATGATATGTTTAAATTATTCTGTAAGTATCCAAGATTTGGAATAGTGTAAGATATTTGTCAGTTAATTGAAATGTTAATCAGCCTTACTTGACAACGGTATAAGGATCTATGCCAAAACGTCGCCTTTACAGTAAATAAAGAAGTTGTTATCCATACATTGTGTCTACTTTGTCATCCATCAACTTCTAAGTTATGCCTATCAAACAATTAATTGAAATGGAGCAAAAAATCTTTTGTTTCTTCATAACATTGATGTTTTGTTTTTTTATTATCACATCCCAAATCAATTATCACAAAATAATCACAAAATAATCACAAAATAATCACATGTAATTGTTGAAAGCAAAATTTATTGTATCTTCTGTAATTATTAAATGCTAAATCAATTAAGTGGAGACAATGTAAGATGCCACCCTGCTCTCACTGTCAAAGCTGGCTACTCTCTACACAGGAGTGCAAGCTGCCGTTGTTTGGACAAGGGATTGAGGCCTAATTACACCTAGATCTTTCTTTCTACCTCTGTAACACACAGGCACAAAGATATGGACTTATGGCGACACTCTGTTTTTTCAGCCGTTAACCGCTTCTCCCATAACCTTAGTCCTTGAGCTTATATAGCAGGATGGGGGTGGGGTGGGGGGGTGGGGGTTAGTCAAGGGGGCTGGGGATAGAAGGCATTTGAGGCTGCAGCAGCTGCTGTCCAGTAAGATTCCTCTAGGGTGCACTCAGGGGTTATGTGGACAGAGATTCTTATGGCTGTGCAGTTCTATGAAGAGTTTCAGTGATAAACAGTGATCTATGAAGACACAGAGAAATCTTTGGTAAATATTCATTAGACATTATTACAATAATTTCAAGTAGCTGAATATTTAAATGGTGATTATCCGGCATGAAAGTAAATTGAAGGTAGCCCTGGAAACTACAATGATAAATTATATCCTAAAGCATCCAGAATTATCAACCTTGAAACAGAAGAATTGTGAAAGGTTGTGTAGCCTGAAGTGATATTATTACTGAATCAGGGGAGGACTTCACTGCCGTCAGTTGACCGTGGACAAATGACAATAGTTGAGTTTCTGATTGGTGTTGGTTACTGAGGTTGTACAAAGTTCAATAACTTGGGTTCCATAGCTGTTGGGAGGTTTTCAAGACGTCAGGTTGTGTGAAGATTAGAGACTCCGATTTAAGTTATTCATAATCCCACTGTGAAATCACTCTCATGAATCAGCCCCCACCTGTTGATTCACTTGTGTGGAACAGGCTGTCAAGCTTCTCCCACAGACAGACAGACAGATAGTTTATTAACGTCTCACTTCTGTACATACATAAAACAGCTTTGTATAACTTGACATAGATAGAATGTACAGAACCATTCAATAGAATTATGAGAGACAAATTATCATAAAATTTATACATAAATGATATAAAGATGATATAGTAAAACGTTATCCATATAATAGATGCTTTCTACGATTAAGAATTAAAAAGCAGACTTTGGCAAGTATAAAACACACACTGGGGTCACTGAAAATTAAACAAAGTTTGTCGATATCAGGTATATCTAAAACATTATAAGATTTAGCAATATATTCATTAAAAAGAGTTGCCCTGATATCGTCATATGTACAACTCAAGCCTGGCCGAGAGTGAGGCAGCCAGCACCTGCCAGCTTGATTTTATTAGGGTTGCTTTAGACCACTGAGTGATAATGACTGTCTCACAGATAGTCAGGTCATCCAAAGACTATATTGATCTTTGGGTCAACTGTTCATCAGGAAGAAGCATACATGTTTGCTAAGATTACGTAGTGCTTGTTCACAATTTGGGAGAGCAAGCCTCATAAAAATAGTAGTAAAATATGATAGCTTATATTATGTCAGAAATCAGGTAAAGTGTGGGACGATAGACATTTGACTAGAATGGCTGGAGAGTGATTGCCCCAGGTCAGTTGTGATGTCTTCATACATTGTGGGGGCTGCCTCTCCAAGCAGCCAGGCTTTGTCCAAGGTGTCAGTGGATGACTTGATATGCTCTAGCCTCTGGCTCACACAGCCTTTGTGTCTGTAGCTAGACCATGTTGACTCAAGGAGAGAGGCTAGTAACCCAAGGCAAATAATACACAATACCCAGGTAGAAAACTTTTCACCTTGGCTAAAGCCATGGACTAATCCATTTCCTTGACCAGGGGGTGGATGGTATGGGACAGCCTGCTGACCTTATACAAAATATATGAAAATCTCTCTAAATTGACAATTGAATCATGTAACAAACATTTAACAAACTTTTGTAAAGTTTTCAGGAAAACAATTGTGCAAAAACGTCTGTCAAATACCGCCCTACCCCCCCTCTCCATGTTAGTTGACATAGACTGCCCCACACTTCCCATCATGCAAGAGGGAGCTGGAGATTCAAACAGTGCAGTGCACATGTGCAACAGGGAAATGTCACTGAATGTAATATGAGCCTGTGGAGAAGCAACACCAGCCTGTGTGCTTGCAATGGCTGACTACTATCTGGATTATTACTGGGGCTATAACTCTCAACACAGGAGATTTCCTGTGGAGTGACATTCTCTTTGGAGTAGGAACCTGCTATCAAGAGAGGCACATGGCAGTGAGGATATGTTGGCTGCATCTGCCAGGATGACGCCCCTGTTTAGCAATGGATTATTCTCCAAGACTTTTTTCTCGGCTGACATCGCTGAGGGTCCGTGGGGACCACATATTCAGGGAGTGCCGGGAATCCCAGCTACCATGGCCTTCAATAGCCGCTCAAAACGGGTGGTTAGTTGATATATGCTTCACTTGTAGACAGGGCAGTGGGAGGTGGGGTGGGTGGGTGATGCCTCCCTGTACTTGGAGGTCATGCATGGTTAATATGAATATAAAGTAAACTAAATTTGGAAAATTTGAAGATTTTCAAACTAAACAATACTCTGAAGATGTCTATGATCATGACAGATGAAATATGTTTTAGGAAATAATGTGTCCTTCACAATGTTTCCCGATCTCTATACATGTGTTACAATGTTGAATGTGGATGGTGTGGATGTAGATGTTGTACATGCCAGGAGATGTATTAGCTGTTTCTATTACAGATGTCCACACCCCACCCTATCAAAACCCGAGCAGACAAGACTGCAACACTGACAAGCAAGTCCCACAGCAAGGCTCCAGTCATGGTGCGCTCACACAGCATGCCAGAGAATCTGGATAAACTACACCGGAAGAAGAACTTTCTTAGTCTCATTGGTTAGTAGAAATATTAATAATAGGAGATTCATTATTCCTACATGTTAAGTGGTGTACAGGCCTTGCACCACAGTCCACACACCGGCTGGGAGTTACTAGTCAGATGCCCGAGTCCAGTAACATTCTGTGTGGTCAAATAATCTCGGGTCATATTAGTCCATGTTATAATACTAAAGAATACTGAACATGAGGCTGGGCACAGGCAAGATGACTCATTTTGGCACAGACTGCATATGCTCAATGACAAAAGTAACTCATCAAATGAATTTATTGCCAACTGAATAAGCTGACCATGTCGGGCAAGGGTAAAGGTTTGATGGTGTTTCATGTATCTGTGTACACAACAAACCCCTCATCAGGCCGGGGAGAAATGTGCATGTGTAGTGCTAACAAAGAAAGCCACACCCCTAGTTTTCTGTACATAGCTTTTCTGCTTATGTGCAATGAATGAATGACTGAAACTGACCATGTTTCACAATGTGTGTAAATAACCAAAGAATGGCTAGTGTTTACCTTGTAGTTTTGAATATTAATGATCTATTTGAAAGCCTTTGGAGATCTATTATTGCACTCCTTTTGAAGAAGGAAACTTTTGTGTCATGTTTCTAAAAGTAATGACAGTATCATAAATAAGGGCAGGATCACAGTTACTAAAGGCCACATGCTTGGTATGGCATGATAGGCTTATTGAAAGCACTTTAAATACTTTAATCTTTATACAAAATGGAATGTGTGCTGTTTTCACAAGAACTTCTCAAGTTGCCTGTGGCACAGCTACCAAGAGGTTGTTGGTATACTATAAACCCGTGTTGGGTGTCTTCTTGGTATTATTCTAATAGTATTATCATGATTATGTGATCGTGTTGTATTTTATTTCCCAAGAAGCAGTACGGCAATGTGAGCCTCAGTTGTGATCAGGTGGCGTATTGCCCAGCTTTGCAAAAGTTTGTTGAAAGTAGTTATATGCAGACCTTTATAGTGATATTGTATGTAGGTATGCTGTAAAGTTTAGAAATTCAAGCGATAAAAAAGAGAATGCCAAAAGTGATAGTAAGCACGGCATGACGCTTTGGTGAAAGGATGTGGCGTAGGGCAGAGAACGTGACGTAGGGCAGAGAACGTGACGTACGGCAGAGAACGTGACGTACGGCAGAGAACGCGACGTAGGCATGTGAATGGATGGAAGTGATGTAATTGCCGGTTGCTGATGAACACGGGAGTAAATGGGGGATTACATGTGCGAGGTGAATTTTGTCTGTTAAAAGTAGGCTTACTTATAGAGGGAATAAATGGTGGAATGTAAGATAAATGCTGCCTATAAACATGATAAACCCATCTAGCGAATTACTGCTAAATGTTAATAAAACATGGCAAGGCATATTGTGTTCTGCATCTTCAGGTACGAGAAGTGCATAGATACGTAGGTGGACCATGAGACTTGCAATACCAGGGAGTGTGTGTGAGTGTGTGTGTGTTGTTAAGATGATGGGAGGTGATGACACAAACATGACCCAACCCTCACCCACTGCCTCAGTCACATGGATCCATCTGATCAACAAGTTGAACATCAGCCGGTTTAATTGTTCTGAGAAGGTGGTGTAACTTTTATGGGTTAGCTGATCTGGCATCACACAGTATAGTCCATTAATGTGGACATCCCTTGCTTTACTCAACATGGACATTAACTTGAAACATTCACTACCCCTGAATAGTGATAACACATAGACACCCACTGAACAGCCTGAAATTCTACGAGCCAGAGACATTAGACGAACAGATTTAGACGATGGCGGGCTAGGGCCAGTCAGCTTTACTTAATCCTCTGAATAGGTGAAGTACACTTTGAGGTTAGTGTCTTTCTTCAACATAATCAAATATGAAAAAAAAAGAATCATTTCAAATGTCTGGAGATGTTTTATATCTATGTTTACATATATGTAATGCCAGTCAAGAGTTGATCACTAGAGGAAAGAGAGCTCCCCAGCAGCTGATTACCTAATCTATGTGATAGCCCACTATCAGCTGCTACACACGATACAGTATTTTTCAACTGATGTTCATAAGGAGGATCTTTGTAGATGTTTTGTCACTCAGGTATGATAGTTTGGTCTCTTTTATTTATTTTTATGAACCAACAATAAATATTTTGATTGGAATTTGACATTGATAGATTTAGAGGGACCTGTTGCTGATAAGAATTCTGTTGAATGACGTCAAGAGGAGTTGAGAAGCATAGACCACTGATCTACTGGTCTACTGATCCAATGAACCAGGAATGCATACAGTAGTCTTCCTTACATTAAGCACTGCCCGGGAATGTGGACAAGTTGTAACATCTGTCTGTACAGTTTGATAGAAACACACATTAGACTGGAGATAGTTACATTGACATCACCTATCTTTATCATTGACACCATTAAGACTTGTGAAGACTCATCCTGAAGTCCGGATATATGCCCCCGTCACCAAGTAGTATCCCTAAATCTGTCATGTTAGCTGATGTAGGATATATGCCCCCGTCACCAAGTAGTGTCCCTAAATCTGTCATGTTAGCTGATGTAGGATATATGCCCCTGTCACCAAGTAGTGTCCCTAAATCTGTCATGTTAGCTGATGGAGGATATATGCCCCAGTCACCAAGTAGTGTCCCTAAATCTGTCTTGTTAGCTGATGGAGGATATATGCCCCAGTCACCAAGTAGTGTCCCTAAATCTGTCATGTTAGCTGATGTAGGATATATGCCCCCGTCACCAAGTAGTATCCCTAAATCTGTCATGTTTACTGATGTAGGATATATGCCCGTCACCAAGTAGTGTCCCTAAATCTGTCATGTTAACTGATGTAGGATATATGCCCCCGTCACCAAGTAGTATCCCTAAATCTGTCATGTTAGCTGATGGAGGATATATGCCCCTGTCACCAAGTAGTGTCCCTAAATCTGTCATGTTTACTGATGTAGGATATATGCCCCCGTCACCAAGTAGTGTCCCTAAATCTGTCATGTTAACTGATGTAGGATATATGCCCCCATCACCAAGTAGTGTCCCTAAATCTGTCATGTTAGCTGATGTAGGATATATGCCCCAGTCACCAAGTAGTGTCCCTAAATCTGTCATGTTAGCTGATGTAGGATATATGCCCCCGTCACCAAGTAGTGTCCCTAAATCTGTCATGTTAGCTAATGTAGGATATATGCCCCTGTCACCAAGTAGTGTCCCTAAGTCTGTCATGTTAACTGATGTTGGCAACCACCTGACTCCTGGAATGGAGGACACTCCTCCCCCCTCATCCTGGCACTGCAATGTACTACCATATCACCAGTGTTGACAGTATCACACCATAAACAGGGGCCTATCTGCTTCCCTCCTTGCGGTCAGTTGGAGACTTGTGATATGGTATCACCAGTTAGGAAATGTGCCTTGCAAACATTGGCGGTGCTGTCTCTTCAGCTGCTGTCTGTAGGCTGGTAGACGTGAAGCATCACCTTCTCATGAGGCTGCTAATGTAACAGGAATACTTTGAGGTTTACTTATCTCTCCCCAGGGTCGGACAACCAGAGCCTCTACAGCCAGAGAAGTGGAGACGATTCCTCCGACGAGTCGGAATATTCCGTGGAATTTACGATACACGACAAATGTCCCAGCACTAGGTCCTCTCAGATGGCGCTGGCAACGCTGGACGAGGTAATGTACTCCCCACACTGAGATCATGCCAGGGGTTACTTGACTTGGTGTTGACAATATAGGCAATGGCGGTATTACATCTGGATCACACTTGGAAAAGTGCATCTTGCACAAACCTCAGCCAGGATTATGTTATCAGACTGCTGCATGCAGCAATATATTCGCATGATTAATATCATTTGTGGTGCATTGCCATTCCAAATGTCTTCACCCCATGTAACAATATAGACAGAATGTTCTGCTTCAGTACATATTGCCCAGTGTTTCCATGTTGTGCCTGCCACCCTTCCAGACGGGACTGACTTGGCAGACTCTCCAATATCCCCATGATAACAATGAGTTAGTTCTTTTAGAATCAGTTTTAATAAGGTACAGAGGCTCGTCATGTGAAGTATTTTGACAAATATCTACTAGATCCTACTAGATTTACCTTCTGTAACGGTATGGATATAATATCTATGTTATGAATAGAAGAACTGAAAGACCTATTGCTGAGAGTTGTGAGCATGTTTCTAGCAGTGCCTGGTTGTGTGTTCAGATGCAGGAGGAGACGAGGACCTTTGCAGAGGCCCTTTGGGATCATGTGACCATGGACCCGGATGAGCTGGGTTTCCGAGCAGGGGAGCAGATCCGGGTGACGGACATGTCGGACAAGGACTGGTGGTTCGGGTGTACGGAGCAGCGCCGGGGCTGGTTCCCGGCAGCCTTTGTGCGGGTAAGACCTGCTATATCACAAACTGGGTACAGGAAGCATTTCTAACAGGAAGTTTATGTTACGAGAAATTGAATATGTGTCTGGAATGTTTGTCCAGAAAAGTAAGGTGAACAAATAGTGTGTAGGAGTACATACACACTCGTGTCTGTCATGTCCGCCAAACACATTCCTTCCAATCACTGTGTGGAACCCTCAACTGCTAAATGCCACTGAAAGATAAAATTTCATCCACATCAATTGTTGATAACTCTCAGTATACACAGATTATGCAAGACAATATCAACCATTACAATTTGGTAATGTGATCATCATAGTTTGGGCCAGTACGACAAAGTGAAATATGTATCAAGGTGTTTTTTCACCAGTAATAGTTCTTGCTTTCACTTATCCACAAGTTTTTCTCACCAGATTTCAACATAAGACTTTCTACGTTGTGCTTGGTGTAACGAAGTCAGTTCATCAGTCATTGTCACATATTTAGGCACTAAGACTTTTTGAGGACTTTACGTGATTAAATAAAAGGCAAATGGGGGTTTTCTTTTTTCATATAGGAAATCATGATCATCATGCTCATGATGTCTGCTATTTTTGTTCCAGAACCCAATTATCACATTAAGTGTTCCTAATTTCTTCAATCAATTTTGCACTTGACTTTTGTAATACTTGCAAGTAAGATTCAGCTGTTAAAAAATATGTGTACATGTGTCGTTTTTGTAGATAAAGATACAGTTTTACTGCATAGTATGTTCATAGTATTTAATAATGGTATTGTTAAATCACTATAATAGTTGTTCATCAGTAGGACCCAGATACATCAACTGAAGGAATTAAACATATATTTGATTGTTATAAACCAGTGTTTTCCAAGTGATAGCCATCGGTATCAATTGTTGTGTTTACATCTGCATGGTGTTATTATATCATTCACTGTCAAATAAGATGCTTCTCAGGGACAGTCGGTTGAGAAACATTCTCTCTAATGATGTTTACTTACTCCAACCAACAACATCATTGATTCCTAAGTTTGAATTCAACTTCAATTAAAAACATTAAGTAGCAAGATGTCTAAATACACAGATAGATGAACTGTACACAGTGTAATTAACTGTTAATCTCCCCTCATCACCTAGGACTGACTGGCTATTGATAACACCTGCAATTAGCACACATCAAAGCTCCTGCTGACTGTTACCTGTGTACAGCTAGTGTTGTCTCAGTCTCTTGTTGCAGCATGTTATCTCATTAGGGGGTCCTTTGTGTTTCCTTGTTGACTGTCTCACCTTTGTTGACTTGGTTGTTGATTGGTTAAGAAAAGCATCTGTAATGAATACATCCAATTAGGGAGAGTATTACATCTGCTTCTTGAGTTGCTGATGCAGTTCAGCTGTGAATGTGAAACAGTGTACCTGTGCTAGATAGTGCTAAAGGTTTTTTTGTGCTACATGGAAACCCTGTTCTAGTTTACTCAGTTCTCACAATGAGGTACATTATCAACCAAGCATTCAAGGGGTTTTCAAGTGGTGATGACTTTGACTTGTCTGTATTTGACCAGCTGTGGGTGAATCAGGAGAGGTTTGACGAGGACATGATCATACACGATGAAACCGAGGAGTCTCCGAAACTCAGGAACCATGGGATGAACACTGATCAAGGTCGGGCCAATGTTGTCAATGAAATCATCCATGCAGAACGAGAATATGTCAAGCATTTACGTGATGTTGTTGAGGTGAGACATGAGTTTATTCACCAATTTGTATTCCTCTGTTGACACTATTAATGACAGATAATACTTAATTTTTAACTTTACACGCTTTCTGCAAGTCATACAAGATAAGAAGATAGGTGTGCACATTGAATAGAAATCAAGTCATATTTGTTCTACTGCTTGGTAAAAATCAAGAAATCATTGTTTCTGACACAAGACATCCTATCTGCACATACTCAAGCCATCATGTGTTTGTATATCTGCACATACTCAAGCCACCTTGTGTCTGTATATCTGCACATACTCAAGCCACCTTGTGTCTGTATATCTGCACATACTCAAGCCATCATGTGTTTGTATATCTGCACATACTCAAGCCACCTTGTGTCTGTATATCTGCACATACTCAAGCCACCTTGTGTCTGTATATCTGCACATACTCAAGCCACCTTGTGTCTGTATATCTGCACATACTCAAGCCACCTTGTGTCTGTATATCTGCACATACTCAAGCCACCTTGTGTCTGTATATCTGCACATACTCAAGCCATCATGTGTTTGTATATCTGCACATACTCAAGCCACCTTGTGTCTGTATATCTGCACATACTCAAGCCACCTTGTGTCTGTATATCTGCACATACTCAAGCCACCTTGTGTCTGTATATCTGCACATGCTCAAGCCATCATGTGTTTGTATATCTGCACATACTCAAGCCACCTTGTGTTTGTATATCTGCACATACTCAAGCCACCTTGTGTCTGTATATCTGCACATACTCAAGCCACCTTGTGTCTGTATATCTGCACATACTCAAGCCACCTTGTGTCTGTATATCTGCACATACTCAAGCCACCTTGTGTCTGTATATCTGCACATACTCAAGCCATCATGTGTTTGTATATCTGCACATACTCAAGCCATCATGTGTCTGTATATCTGCACATACTCAAGCCACCTTGTGTCTGTATATCTGCACATACTCAAGCCACCTTGTGTCTGTATATCTGCACATACTCAAGCCACCTTGTGTCTGTATATCTGCACATACTCAAGCCACCTTGTGTCTGTATATCTGCACATACTCAAGCCACCTTGTGTCTGTATATCTGCACATACTCAAGCCATCATGTGTCTGTATATCTGCACATACTCAAGCCACCTTGTGTCTGTATATCTGCACATACTCAAGCCATCATGTGTCTGTATATCTGCACATACTCAAGCCACCTTGTGTCTGTATATCTGCACATACTCAAGCCACCTTGTGTCTGTATATCTGCACATACTCAAGCCACCTTGTGTCTGTATATCTGCACATACTCAAGCCACCTTGTGTCTGTATATCTGCACATGCTCAAGCCATCATGTGTTTGTATATCTTCACATACTCAAGCCATCTTGTGTCTGTATATCTGCACATACTCAAGCCACCTTGTGTCTGTATATCTGCACATACTCAAGCCATCATGTGTCTGTATATCTGCACATACTCAAGCCACCTTGTGTCTGTATATCTGCACATACTCAAGCCACCTTGTGTCTGTATATCTGCACATACTCAAGCCACCTTGTGTCTGTATATCTGCACATACTCAAGCCACCTTGTGTCTGTATATCTGCACATACTCAAGCCACCTTGTGTCTGTATATCTGCACATACTCAAGCCACCTTGTGTCTGTATATCTGCACATACTCAAGCCACCTTGTGTCTGTATATCTGCACATACTCAAGTCACCTTGTGTCTGTATATCTGCACATACTCAAGCCATCATGTGTCTCTTTTCCCAGGGTTACCTCAAACAGGCCAAAAAGAGACCAGAAATGTTCCCCGAGGAGAAGATCTCAATCATTTTCGGAAACATAGAGGAAATCTACAATTTTGCCACCAAGTTTCTTGCCAGCTTGGATAAAGTTTTCAACAAGGAAGCCCCTCACATGAGTGGTGTTGGCGAAGTTTTCCTCTCACATGTGAGTTTATTGTATGTAATCTGTTATGTTCATGTAATGTAAATAATGAGTGGAGCAGCAGGAAGGAGGTTTTTATCAGTAGAAATATAAGGATGGGAATTCACAAACTTACGTGTGAATTGCTTGGTGTGTGGGTTGCGTCCAGCTACACATTATGATGTGATATATATGGAAGATGTCATCTTTGTTTCAGAGCAAGAGTTTTGAGATCTACTCCGACTACTGCAACAACCATCCAGGGTCGGGGGAGGTGGTCAAGGAATTGTACAGGAACAAAAAATACAGACATTTTTTCGAGGTAAAGAGTTCAAATAGAAAATTCAATGAATGTGTCATAAATTAACATTTACTCTTATGGGAAATTAACTTTCTCAGTACTTGCATAAATATCCTATACTAGATCTAATGTTATGCCGTCTACCCTCCCGCCAGGCATGTCGTCTGCTCCAGGATATGATAGAGATCCCCTTGGAGGGTTTCCTGCTAACCCCTGTCCAGAAGATCTGCAAGTACCACCTCCAACTGAATGAGCTGCTCAAGTACACACCACCAGACCACCAAGACTTCCACTTCGTTAAGGCAGCACTTGACTCCATGAAGAAAATAGCCACACTCATCAATGAGAGGAAGCGCAAGATGGAGAGTATCGAGAAGATTGCCATGTGGCAGGCATCAGTGGATGACTGGGAGGTGAGACCAACAGACTATTTGGCTGGGAAAATACTGGAAAATAAGCCTAGGGTTGTTATTGAATGTGTTAATACAGTAATGTATATAACTATTGTATTTATTTATCATGTGTTTATTTGTTCCCAGGGCGATGACTTGTTGCAGCTGAGTTCGGAGTTGATCTACTCCGGGGAACTGAACAAGATTAACTCGAGTGGCTGGTCACAGGAAAGATACTTCTTTCTTTTTGACCATCAACTTGTTTACTGTAAAAAGGTATGATTTTTCTTTTTCAACACCAGTTAATCAATTAATAGATATTTGTGTATGTTTCGTGAGTGAAAGGCATCGCTAGTATTATTAGTGCAAGAAAATACTTCAGACATACACGCCACTTTGTGAATTTCAGGATCTACTGAAAAAGAATGGTTTCTGCTACAAAGGTCGGGTTGACCTCGATCACAGTGACATCATACCGCTGGCTGATGGGAAGGGTAAGCTGATGACACCATTAACATAGTCTTCTGTAGTGTAATATATAGACATCAGGAGGTGAAGGATGCAAGTCCGAGTCAGCAATCAGTCTGCTCTACTTAGAAGCACAGAAGAATGTTCCCATGTATTCACAATGAGTATTTTATGTCAGCAGTAATATTTCACCTCTTAGATGATGACCTTTAGATAATCAAATTACCTGCAATGATCCATGTCATAGGGATCAAGATTTGCAAACAGCCAAGTAAGCTGAGGTGTGGTGTTCAGATGCCCAGTACAATGTCCCGTTGCGTTCACATGCCAGTACAATGTTGTGTTCTGTTGTGTTCAGATGCCCAGTACAATGTTACAGTAAAGCATGCATGGAAGATTCACGACACCATGCGAGACAAGTGGTACCTGCTGGTTGCCAAGTCGGACCAAGTGAAGCAACGGTGGCTCAAGGCTTTCGAGGATGAGAGGAAGAGGGTTAAAGATGACCAGGAAAACAGTGAGTAGACGTTCAGCCATTAGGCTGTTGCTGATTGTACATTGTGAAGGTAGAGCAGCATGGGTTGGCACTGTTTTGTGGACCTGATGATATCCTTATTGTGTTCCAGATTTCAACATCCCTGTGCACTTAAAACAGACAGCTATCCACAACCTCAAACAGAAATCACATCTTGCAAAACCAAAAGGTAAGCATGGACCTTATATACTTTATTAAAACTTCTATATAAAGGCCTGGGCAAAGTTGATAAATGTTTCAGGAACTATTGTTCATATTTGGTGTTATTATTACCTAGCAGTCATTCCCTTGACTAATATGTTTGACATGGCCAGTAGTACACTTGGATGAAGATGTACATATGTGTATTACCCAACATGTCTATGTCACTAACTGTGCTGGAGAGTGTGGAGAAGGACTACTATGTCAACTTGTGGGTTTCAGGCTTGTTTTTATGGTTATCAAAGCGAAGTGATAGATGATCAGTATGGAGGAGGTAACCACGGTGACAGTACTATATTTCTGCATTTGGTCTTGTGTGGTTCTCACCAACTACTAAATATCATACTAAAGCTTGGCATTGCTAGAACAACACCAGACATTTGGAAAACACAAATGAAGCATTTTTATGGTAAGGAAATACTTGATGAACTTGTAAATCAACTGGTCATGTTGAGTTGAAGGGAGATAACTTTGCCAAGCTTTAGTGACTGGAATCTCATTTTACTTTCAACTCGTTGTATGCCTGTACCACCTACCTGTATCACCTCATCCTTCATGGATTTAGTTTTTTTATGTTAATTTATTAAAGCACACATTATGTGGTCATTTTTGTGTGGATTAATTTTGAAGTAGTTTATTGTTTTGTATATAGTGAGATTTGTAGCTCAGTTACACACAACCGATATAGCCTGTAGATTATAGCTATCAAATAATTCTACGTTTGTCAAATCATCAATAATTACTTGTGAAACATTTCATCTTAACTCTAAAAATTGCATTTATAAATTTAACAATTTATGATCGCATTCATATGATATGTCCTCAATGTATTCTTCATTTGCCATGTTTATTTGCGCCCCATACAATAGTGATTAACTCTGAGAACTAGTTCTGTTGGTACCTTGGTAAAAGGTGTATTATCCAATGTATCATGCATGTCTATCATGTTGTACTGTGTACTCTCTACCTACCCACTCATGGTCACTTGTCATACAAGCAAGGGTAAACTGACTTGATCATTCATTGACAAGCATGGGCTGGTGTCCAAATCACATGCAAGTTAAGTTGTAACTTATGCAATATTTGTTTATTTGTTGAATAAAATATGAGCAGATCTGCTTGTTTCCATGATAACATAACTTCATCTACTGAAATCATCTTTGCCAAATATACAACTGTATTTTAATTCCTGTATGAACACGTCCTGTGAATGGATGAATGCATGCATGTGTTGCCTAACTGGTACTTGTGTGTGCTTCTAGGGAAGAGAAAGGCAGCTAGAAGTGCAAGTCTACGTCACACAAAGAAAGATGCTACATTTGCGGTGCCAGGAACACTTCCCCGCAAGAAGCAGCAAGATTCACTTGGGGACATAAACCAATCAAAGAAACTAACATGGTTCTTTCTGGGTCAGGGGAAGAAAAAGTGAAGAATGTGTTTGCGGCTAGCTCCTGCTGGCAAAGAGACGCCAGCATTACTGGCAGTGTTTCTTCACTGTTCCCCACCATTGTCTTATAGTGAACACACGTCACAAACACTATTTATCAACTGATTTTGTTCCATGTCAAACATGGACAGATTTATTACAAGATTGGTGTCTATTAGGTGCCAGATGCTACTATTGGTTCCTATTTGATATCAGATACTACCATTGGTTCCTATTTTGTGCTACCATTGGTTTCTATTTTGTGCCAGACACTACCAATGGTTATTCATATCAAGTGCTACAACATGTTATAGACGATAGTGCAGTGTGTGTCCACTTATAGAGAAGCATAATGATTCTTACCCTCTCAAGGATGGAATGGCCTAGTTGTAAGTGTGGATGGATTAGCAGCTTGTGGTATGACGGCTAGAGACATATCTGGACAGTGCTAGCAGTGTTGTCATGCCATTGGTGCCAGTCAAGGACCTTGTGATGTAGATATTGAAGGCTTGAGGTTCCTATAGCTGCCTAGACCAGACTGAACTTACATTGCCTGCAGTAGGCCATGGAAACAACAGGACTTCTGTCTCAGCTGCACAGCTTTAACTTGTGTTTTATGTACTGTCCATGGCCTACAGCCATTGTTAACCAGTCATTTTTAGTCATTCAGATTCACCTGTTGTAGTGCTTAATTCAATTTTATGTATATTGTGCTTCATTAATGCAAATGACAGTTGTCTGTTAAGAGACAAATATTTTCTAACATTTATATATTCCTACAAGTATTTACAAACTATTGTTTGTACATTTTGAATTAGAGGAGGTTCATACATTAATTATTTATCCACTATTACTGCTGAAATGTGCAGGGGAATAAGCTGCATGTTGTCTAGACCTTTCTCTTCATTACAATATTTCCAATTCAAAGCCATTCTATGTGTATTTCATAAAGTAGGCCATGTTAGTGAAATCCCACATTGAGACCACTTATACAAGATGTGTTCATTCCCCCAGCAGTGGGTGTAGGGTACAGATAAACTGGACCAAACAAGTTTACAGCATTTGTTCTGAATCAGGTTTATGTCCTTGATACTGTCCTGAATGTTTGACCAGGTCAAGGAACAAGACTCCAGTAACAGTGTACAGGTGCTAAAGGCAGGCCTCTGGGCAACCTGCACAACTCTATTCCTATACACCTTTGTCAAGATGCCAGAGTAATATATTGAGGAATACCACACAAGTATTACAGAATGCCACAGGTCATCACTGTAACATTTATGTCCTACTGGCAAGAGTAATCAAATGAGAATAAACAAGTTTTCCTTCATACACAAATTAGCTGAAGTACAATTGTATAGTTCCTTTACATCGAAGGACATGCCATCTTGTCTCACATGGGAGACACATCTCATAACAGAGCAAGGGATGTAACTCATGTGACAAATGAAAAAAAAACAGTGCTTGTTCATTAAAGGGAGATAATTTTTTTGCTGATGTGAATAGAGTTATCTGCCTTCCATTTGCTCAACCCATTATCGAAGCTAGTCCACATGTCTTTCAATCTGTACATGATCTGTGGATGCAAGCCCAACACCAACTGTGGCTGTTATCAACTATGTCATGTAACAACAGTGTAAATGTGTATTATAACAATCTGAAAGGGGTGGTCAAGTCCTGGACATAAAATACAATGTACAGTAGTTGTAGAATAACAATGTGAAATACAATGTAGGAGTTAGTTGGTATTCCACTGATCCGTTCTTATACTCCAGTTCTACTTTCACACAAACATACCCTGGATAATGTGTTCGTCTACATAGCATAATGTCCTAATCTAGTTGGAAGGAGAAAAGGGTTGCAGTTAGTGGGATCAATGGTCGTATGTTAGGTGGAAGGTCACCAAGACACTATGTGCAAAGCTACATGTTTTTAAACAATACAAATATTTCATGAGTATTTGGCTGCCATCTTAGCATTAGAAGGTGCTTGTGACTAGATCTGTGCAAGGTGAGTGTTTTTTAAAATGTGTAATACAACCAGTTGGTGCAATACCTAGGATGCCGTGAGCGAGAACAGAAATAAGTGTTAGATCTGAATGAACTATAAGTTTCAAATGTTGGTTATAATGAAACAATATTGATCCACTCATGAAAATAAAGATATGATCTTTAATAATTTCTGACTTTTCAAATGTACACATCTTTTAATTGCTTTGTACATAGACATATGTATTAGATCTCATGGCTTGTGTACATACATTGTCTCTGCTGGCTATTTATACACTTTGTCTGGATGTGCAGACACTTTTATACATCTTTTTCTGCTGTTTGTAAATATGTACAAATATTCATCCTCAAATAAATGATCACAATAATAAGGGGTTCTGGTTTTGTTTTATAAGAATATTTAGGATGTAAACATGATCAATGTGCTAGGTTTTTCTTTTTATGCCTTTGCTACATGAAAATATTGAAATGAATTTGAATACAGTTCCAGCATTGATAACAGAAAATGTTTTTCCATCCTTCCATAAACAACAAGCATCCCAGTGACACCACCGTACCTGTCTCTGAACATATTTGTCATGTCAACGGTTATTGACTTTGGACCTTGGGAATTGTCTTTACAGATGTCATGAGAAGGGGAAAAAACCTCACTAAAATGTGCCATTTCTCAAAAAGATTTAATGCTTTTATGCAAAAAGCAATATTTGTAATATCTGTTATATTATTGTCAATTCCTTCAAAATTGTTACTTTGACAGTCTTGCAACAGAAATGAAATGACCACTTCCTTGTAAGGCAAACTTGACTGTTTTGAAGACCTTGAAGACAGTCTGGTTTAAGCTTGTTGTGCTAGAGGTGTGTGTTGTGCAGGACTGGATGTACATTGGCTATGTTATGACTTCGGACCCTTGCATGAAATGTTGGAACTGGGTGTGCTTGTTTCTGCAAGTGTCAAACACCTCCAGTTTAAGAATGGACTACATGTATGTACTGCTGTGCCCTAATTGAGATGAGAATCTGAGAGGGTGATTATGGGGACTGAACAGATCTGACGCACCAGGGAGGCAGCTGCTGCTGGGCCCGAGGATGATGTCACCAGATGGGTTCACAACACAGCATCCTTTACTAGCCAGTGTAACCATGGGATAAGTGCATTTCCCTCCTGAAAACATGGACCCTCTCACTGATATCTTATGACATGATAATACAAATAGCAGTCCAATCATATTGTATTCATGTGCTGAAGAAATGGTGCAGGTTCATGATGAATGGAGATGGTGACATCGCATGGGTCCAGGTTACGCCATGTAACAAGTTGTAACAGTAAACTAGCACAACACAGACACCATGTAACAAGTTGTAACAATAAACTAGCACAACACAGACCAAATACCAAGTTGTAACAATAAACTAGCACGACACTGACACCATGTAACAAGTTGTAACAGTAAACGTAAGACTGGTAGCACAACACAGACCATGTAACAAGTTGTAACAATAAACTAGCACAACACAGACCATATACCAAGTTGTAACAATAAACTAGGACGACACTGACACCATGTAACAAGTTGTAACAGTAAACTAGAATGACACTGACACCATGTAACAAGTTGTAACAATAAACGTAAGACCGGTAGCACGACACAGACCATGTAACAAGTTGTAACAGTAAACGTAAGACCGGTAGCACGACACAGACCATGTAACAAGATGAAACAGTAAACACAAGAACGGTAGCACAACACTGAGACCATGTAACAAGATGAAACAGTAAACACAAGACCGGTAGCACAACACTGAGACCATGTAACAAGATGAAACAGTAAACACAAGACCGGTAGCACAACACTGAGACCATGTAACAAGATGAAACAGTAAACACAAGACCGGTAGCACAACACAGACCAAATACCAAGTTGTAACAATAAAGTAGCACAACACCGAGACCATGTAACAGTAACCCTGCACAACACTGAGACCATGTAACAAGTTGAAACAGTAAACACGAGACCGGTAGCACAACACTGACACCATGTAACAAGTTGTAACAGTAAACACAAGACCTGTAGCACAACACTGAGACCATGTAACAAAATGAAACAGTAAACACAAGACCGGTAGCACAACACAGACCATGTAACAAGTTGTAACAATAAACTAGCACAATACTGACACCATGTAACAAGTTGCAACAGTAAACACAACACCGGTAGCACAACACCGAGAACATGTAACAGTAACCCAGCACAACACTGACACCATGTAACAAGTTGAAACAGTAAACTCAAGACCGGTATTACAATGCTGTGACCATGTAACAAGTTGAAACAGTAAACACAAGACCGGTATTACAACGCTGAGACCATGTAACAAGTTGAAACAGTAAACACAAGACCTGTATTACAACGCTGAGACCATGTTACAAGTTGTAACAGTAAACACGAGACCGGTAGCACAACACCGAGACCATGTAACAGTAACAACAGCACAACACTGAGACCATGTAACAAGTTGAAACAGTAAACACGAGACCGGTAGCACAACACTGAGACCATGTAACAAGTTGTAACAGTAAACACAAGACCTGTAGCACAACACCGAGACCATGTAACAAGTTGAAACAGTAAACACGAGACCGGTAGCACAACACTGAGACCATGTAACAAGTTGAAACAGTAAACACAAGACCGGTAGCACAACACCGAGACGATGTATAAGTAACCCAGCACAACACTGACACCATGTAACAAGTTGAAACAGTAAACACAAGACTGGTAGCACAACACTGAGACCATGTAAACAAGTTGTAACAGTAAACACAAGACCGGTATTACAACGCTGATACCATAAAACAAGTTGAAACAGTAAACACAAGACCTGTAGCACAACACCGAGATGATGAATAAGTAACCCAGTACAACACTGACACCATGTAACAAGTTGAAACAGTAAACACAAGACCGGTAGCACACCACTGAGACCATGTAACAAGTTGTAACAGTAGTGACCGGTAGCACAACAGTGAAACCATGTAAAAAGTTGTAACAATAAAGTAGCACAACACTGAGACCATGTAACAAGTTGAAACAGTAAACACAACACCGGTAGCACAACACCGAGACCATGTAACAGTAACCTAGCACAACACTGACACCATGTAACAAGTTGTAACAGTAAACACAAGACCGGTAGCACAACACCGAGACCATGTAACAGTAACCCAGCACAACACTGACACCATGTAACAAGTTGAAACAGTAAACACAAGACCGGTAGCACACCACTGAGACCATGTAACAAGTTGTAACAGTAGTGACCGGTAGCACAACAGTGAAACCATGTAAAAAGTTGTAACACTAAAGTAGCACAACACTGAGACCATGTAACAAGTTGAAACAGTAAACACAACACCGGTAGCACAACACCGAGACCATGTAACAGTAACCCAGCACAACACTGACACCATGTAACAAGTTGAAACAGTAAACACAAGACAGGTATTTTAACGCTGAGACCATGTTACAAGTTGAAACAGTAAACACAAGGTCGGTAGCACAACACTGGGACCCTAGCGATATGAAACCTGACAGTCTCAGCAAAGAAATCCAGCACCATAATTACACATCTATCACCCTCCATGGATATCCCAAACATCTAGTAAATACACAGCATACCCAGCAAGAAAAGCCACCCGTTTCCCACTCCAAACCAGCCCCATCACCAATTTTCGTCAGCATCCCATACTAAGGTCCTGATCAAATGGCCAACATGGATGTGACATTCACCTCCGACATCTTACACCATAACGGTAATGGTCCCACCCAAACCCCTGGAGAAGTGTGTATGAGATATCGTGCAACTGTGGAGATACATATAGTGTAGACTTCACGACCCATAACCACCAGAATAAAAGAACAGTAGATCTCTGTCGAAAAATCCGCCCTTTTGGAACATCTCATCCAAAACCTTGAACACGATATTCCCTGGCAAGAAATCCAGATCTTCCATACCAACATTAGTCACTGGATAAAGAGGAACTTCAAGAAACTATTGAAATCCAAAGAACAGAGGCATCAACCTACCCAGCGTGTACTCCACTGTTCTTTAATCACATCATCAACCAGATATGGACATCTTGATCACCTTATTGTTAGTGTTACCATAGTCAGTTCCTTGTTATCATACAGCCATCCCCATCACTACACCTTCAGTGTTCTTAGTTGGCTTCTCTCATGTTAATGTCATTGACTTCGTCATTATATTGTTATCTTTGTAATTAGTCCTACCTTGTGTTAACATATCATCATTGATCTAGATATTAACTCTATACACTTCCTCAGTATACCTGATGAAGGAGCAACAGGTAGCTCTGAAACGTCGTGACAAAGAGTAAAAGAAGTTGAAATCCATAAAAAAGTGTCATGTATTTACGTTCTTACATTTTCCAAATGCCCATCCAAGACTCAAAACAAAGTTATTTTATGCTATTTTCAAAATCAATCGACAAGTCTGACTGTAGGGGGAACAAAGGGATGTCATCTCAATTAAGAAACCTCCTGTGACATCATCTTTTGCTTTCTGATTTTTGTATCATGACCGCTGATGATCAATATTGCCTGGTTATTAGCCTATAATCAATGATGGAATGAAGTCCACAACATCACGGCTTTTTACAAACTTTATAATAACCTGTATCTACACTGGATGTTTTTCATCAACATAATAATAATCTGTACCCCGCTGAAGTAGTTTTTTACAACCCTTGTCATGGACCCTCAGTGTAGTGATCTGTCCTGCCTGAATCAGCCTTTCTTTTAATAGTTCCTCATCCTGGGATAACAGTCACATTTCGTTACTGATCCCTACTGCTTCCATTCCGGCAACTGACAAGTCTTCCGTATAGAAGAGGAAGGGTTTTTTAATTCATGCTTTAGAAATATTAGAAATTAATACTTGGAATAAGTAATACAATATGTTGTGTTTTTGTTCTTGTATACCTGATCGCGTCTGAAAAATTTAATAAAAGATACTGCGCAATCCTCGTCACGTGAAACTTGCTTTGACATCACTGATATAATAAAAACCTTGTGGTAATTCTCTCCATGTAATAGTTTTTTCGATCTCCATTATTATATATTTGTATAAGCATTTGTCTAAATGTGATCTAATGATAGAAAGCAATCTATTTTTAATCTCTAACCAGTTCTTTGGTTTTGGCACGGAATAATTGACGCGCTTGTTGCCTCCCCTGTTCTATGAACTTTTTTTTCTCATCTTCGCTAATACCACTGGTCTTACGAGATTTTGATCGAATATCCTGCTTCATTGCGTTGTATTTGGTGAGTTCTGACAACACTAAACGAAAC